TTTTTTTTTAAATTGATACTTTCTAATACGACATAATAACATAATCTAAATAATAGTTTATCAAAATTTGAGGGCTGATATTTTCATTCATTAAAACCTTGAAAATGAGGAATATATTATCGTGATGACCTTAAATCACACAGTTACTTTTAGTGGCAGTGACGTCACATAAAAAGACTAATTTAGCGGGCTTTATGAATCCGATATTAAATTATTTATTTTATTGGTTCACGTGTTCCTGAAGTATATTGCAATTAGCAGCCATTTTGACTGTTAAGTTCATATTCGATAGTCCTTAAGAGCAGTGGCGGCTAGTGCATTAGAGCTGCCAAAAAATACGTAAAATAGATTTTATGGGTAATCAGTTCTTACCTCAAAACATCCAGAGGACAACTTCATATACAAACTATTAACAAGGATTTCGAATTTAAACTTCTGGTCAATGAATAAGTTTAGGAATTTATTTTCGGTTTTTTTTTTGCAAATTTGTTGCTGTGCAACTGAAATTATACCGATATCGCCACTAAATGAGACATTATTTGATTTTGATATATTAAAATATATTAAGATAAATAATTTGAATTAAACCTTCCTTTAATCTTAATAATATCGTTGTTAATCATAATAGTCAACTCTACAATGTTCTCACTCTCCAAGAGTATCGTTGTATCATCTGCAAATATGGCGAAATTAAAAATAAAACCGGTTTCAGAACGGATCCTTGAGGAATCTCACAGTGAATCGTAGCAAGCTTATTGAAAGAAGCTATTTGTACTCTAGTCTCCAAATAAGACTAGAACCACTTTAGAGCTATCCCTCGGAATCCATATTTTTCTAGCTTGCTCATCAATATTTTGCGATTTACACAGTCAAAAGCTTTGGATAAATCACAAAACACTGCAGCAGCTACCTTGTTATCATTTAAATCGAGGTATAATTTCTCTAGAACAGAAAACATAGCATTCATTGGTAGTATTTTTACTCGGTTAAGACCCAAACTGGGATGTAGACAGCACTCCGTATTGTTTAAGAAAATCTTGCATTCTTATCTTGACCAATTTTTTCAATAATTTTTACCAAAGTGGGTAATAAAGAAATGGGTCGAGAATTAGAATGACAATAATTATAATCACCACCCTTATACACAAGTATAACATTGGCTATTTTTAAAGAATCACTGAAAGAACCTGTCCAAAATGAATGATTGATTCTGCTAAAACATTTAACGCATCTTCTAGATGATGTGAAGCAAGATTGACTGAAATTTCATTCTAACCTAGAGGAATATTTTTGTGTGAAGAGAGGATATCTTTAATTTCTACATCAGTTGATATAAAATAAAATAAATTGTTTATATTTAGATTATTTAAATAAGACAAAGCACCAGTCGAAGGAGTTATTTAGCTGGACAATACTGGATACACTTGGACCGATAGAATAATCAAAATCGTTGCTTTCAGTACGGCTTAAATTGGGAACCAAGGGTTTAGACCTTTTGCCTCTTAAATCATTTATTATTTTCCAGATCTCTCTCTGTTTATTGTTTATCTAGTTTATTCTTACTTTAAAGTATAACTGTTTAGCTGCTTTAATCGTTTTCCTGTAAATTGCACGATATTTGAAGTTATATATTAAGATAGAATCATTAACACCTGAATTGTTATTTTTTTTATTAGGTATAAGCAGTGCATATTTTTAAAATAACAGAAACCCCATCGTTCTGTTATTTAAAAAAAAAAATTAAATTGTTTGTAATCGTCCCTTGTTTTATTAAATTTTGACTGCACCCGAAGATGGAAAAGTTTTCCGAAACATATGTAGTGCTGTGCTAAACAATAGAAAATAAAAACCAAGAAAATTTTTATTTATATAAAATTCTGCTAGGGTCAAGAAATTATTCTTATTTATATAAATAATGATGTTCTGTTAATTCAATAAAACACTTTGAACTTTAGGTAATCTAATTTAAGAATATGAAATAATTAAAGGATACAATGACATCGGGTCCCAATAATATTCCATCTCTCTTAGTCAAAGACTGCATTGGTGCATTGGTTACTCCATTAGCAAACATTTTTAATTTAAGTTTGACAAAAAAAGATTATCCTAAACTCAATAGAAAGAGTCAAAAGTTTGTCCTGTTTTTAAAAAGGGTAAAAAGTCAAATATTGAAAACTATATACCTACTTCCATTATAAGTAATAGGTTAAAGGTCTTTAAAATAATATTGTATAAAAGGATATATTATTGTGTTCAAAACCAATTATCCAAAATTCAATATGGATTTATTTCTAATCGCTCCACCGTAAGCAATTTGTTAATTATAATCCAATAAATATCTGAAGCTCTAGATAATAGAAGCCAAGTTGATGTAATATAAATAGATTTTTCAAAGGCTTTTAACATAATTCATCATGGAGTTTTAATTTCGAAGTTAAAATTATTTGGGTTCTCTGGGGATGCTTTAGAATTTATAAAATCGTATTTAACGAATAGAAAGAAATTTATAATAATAATTAATAATAATTTTTATTCACAAAAAAAATACAATAATAATTACAATTACAAAGTATTATTATACAAATTTAAAAAACGGTATCCGTGAATAAAATATACTCGATAAGCTTATAAACGCTTGTTAAACGCTTGTTTTGAAAAAACAAAAAAAATATATTTAAAATCTAAAATAATATTTAAAAGTAAAATAAACTACTAAAATCGATTTAAACATAAATAAATTAAAAATATAACATAATGTAGGTACGATAAATTAGATTAGCATTTTTTAATTTTTAATTTTATTATTTTTTTTTTCTTTTATTATAAAAAACTCAAAAACTCAAAAATACTAAAATTTAAAAATCTAAAATCTTAAAAACTTAAAAACCTGCACAATCTTTTTTTTGGGATAATGTTTAATTTTCAAAATACCCATGGATCATACTGCGAGAGTTAGCTAAAATAAATTGTTTTAGTCTTTTTTTAAAAGTATACAAGTTTGATTCAGTTTAAATGCTCTTAGGACAGTTTGTACAGTTTGGGTGCGAAATAGGAAAATGATCTCTGTGAAATCACTTTAAACATCAATGGAGCTAAATAACGACATTTTTGTATAGTATTATATTCATGATATACTAGACCTTGAGGTTTACGAATATGATATTTGTTGCTACAGCAAAAAAATACAATTGTCTTAGATCCATTATTTTTGTTTCGGTATACAAGGTTTCTGTAGGATATCTAGATTTTTTTGAATAAATTAACTTTAGAAATCGCCTTTGTGTGACTTCTAAAGAGTGAAGGTGTGTTTTCAAAGCTGCTTTCAACTAGAGCACAATAAAGGGTTTTAAGATGGTGTAATGGTAAAATATCTTTTAAAAATTTGAATTTGTACAAAATAATGCGTAGTTTATTTACCGTGTAGGATATGTGTAGGTTCCATTTTAAATAAGGGTCTATTATTACTCAAAGGTATTTAATTTTATTTTTATTTGAAATGAAAAAAGAGTCTCTGCCATCAGTAATTTTTAGGTGATCAAACGGTGGTGCACCATATGAATTGCAGCTAAATGGTAAACAATGTGTTTTCTCTATATTTACAGTCAATAATTTTTTATCCAAAAAATTTTTAATAATTAGAAAGTCTTGTTCCGCTTTAGTTTTTAAGTTAATCCAGCTATCGTCAGAATAGAAATTAGCTGTGTCATCCGCGAACCCAGTTATGTTTCCTATACTTCCATGTGAAAAAAAAATCATTTATATATATGTTAAAAAGAATAGGACCCAGTATAGATCCCTGTGGTACCCCATATTAGACAGCCATCCATCCACTCTTACTGCCTGAAATAGTTTTTAAACAATTTTAATGAATTACCTCGTATGCCAATGCTCTCCAAGCCTTGTAGGAGTAGATTGTGACATACAGTGTCGAAAGCTTTCGACAGATCAATAAAAATGCACAAACATGGTTTGCTTTTATTAAGGAAAGCTGTTATTTTTGAAGTTAGGTTTAGAATAGCATCTTCCGTTGATTTTTTTTTCTTTAAATCCGTACTGCTGTTCAGATTATATTAAATTTGTTTAAATATGATTGAAGCCGATTTTTTATTAGTTTTTCGAAAATTTGAGATAAGTACGTAACTAGTGAAATAGGTCGATAATTAGTAGCATCCGTTATGTCCCCTTTTTTAAATATAGGTGTAATAATGGTATTTTTAAATGCCGAAGGATAAATAGCTTTTACTATACATTGATTTAAAATATATGTTAAAGGTTGACAGATATATTGTGAAATTGTTTTAAGACAGTAGCCTTATGATTTTTGAGTTCGTTAATTATCACTTTAACCTCATTGATTTTGACTGGCGCAAAGAAAAAGAATTTGGAGAGGAAGTCTTCCTTAATGTAAAATTTTTATCAATTTTAATTTTTTGTATATTGCGAAACATTTTATTTTTTTTTTTTATTAATCGAGTTAAGCAGGCCATTTGTCACCCATGGAGCAATTTTAACATTTTTTCTTCTATTTAGGGGCTTTTCGGTACATGATGCAAGACTCTCTTGAATTATATCAAGAAATTTGTTCGTTGCAGTATCTGGATCGTCAGAATTATATACAGGAAACCAACACATATTTTGAAATATATTATTTAGTTTATTTGTGTTAATAAAAGTTGAATAGATATCTTTATGTTTTTTAAATTTGTTTCATATTATGCCTATAAATCAAATAAATATTTGGTTTTATCGGGGGTTCCCAAGGATCGAACTTGGGTCCATTATTGTTTTTGTTATTTATAAAAGATTTACGCGAAACAATAAATTCAAATAAACCGTTTTGCTGATGACTTAAAGCTGTTCTCCACAATACATGGCATGGATGATTGTATTAATCTCCAAAATCAGCCAATTATGTGCATAGTACCTTAGTACCAGCCCCCACCCTCATGATGATCTGCGCCTGGTACAAACATACCCAATATAACTGATTAAAAACTCACCAGTTTGACGGTGTTGCCGGCTTTCTTAAGCGCGTCCACCGCCATCGCGTGGGGTACGTCAACGACTGGTACATCGTTAACGGACAAAATGGAGTCGTTGACTTTCAAACGGCCATCGGCAGATGCCGCTCCTCCGGGTATGAGCTTCGTGATGTAGATGGCGGTGTCGTCGCCGATGTGAGGGTTGTCGGTGCCGCCGGCGATGCTGAAACCCAAGCCGGCGCCACCCCTTTCGAGGATGATCTCTTCGTATTCCCATTCATCGTCGCCGTTTACCTGTAAGAAAAGAAAAATAAAATTAAAATCTTGAAGAATTAAATTATTTTAGCGGTAAAAGAAATTACGCGTAGTTGAATTTTGGGATAAAAAGTTAAATGTAAAAGTCGTCAAGAGAAATCGCTGAAAATTATTTTCAAGTTCCTAACTTTACCACTAGATTGAGTAAAATTTCTCACAGATTACAATTTTTATTTTAAATTTTTATATAAAAAAAAACGTTATCCTCAATGGCAATGAGCATAACGCCACCTAGAAGCAAAATTAGGAACTTGAAAATATTTTTCATAATTTCTAGGGACCACATTTGGTAAAAAAATCAAATCTGTAAGATAAACAGTTCCTTAGACACACCGACGTCCTTTCCTATTTGTACACCCGGTACAGTTCTTTATAAATATATGATTTTTAGATTTGCTGATAAATATTTTTCAATCATTCCTGAATTAACGAAGTAAGTTTCTGGCTTTGTATTAGAGATGAGATCCGTTTCCACGACTTTTTCTCTCTAGAATATCAGGCGAATACAATGGAAATCCAACAGATACCTCAAGTCACGAATCTCATTACCCATCAAGCAATAGGAGAACATTTCGAGTTATTGCATCCGAATAATGAGGCTGCGTTCGATAGTATTCCACAAATAAATTGCCAATCAATAAAACTTTTTCCAATAAAACATTTGCTCAAACAGTAGAGATATACTGCAGTGTTTGCAGTTGATAAACAAGCATTTATTTTCTAGAGATATTTTTATATATTTCTATTTATTACTGATCCATCTAATATGTACATATAATAAATGTTTATTTACCTGAACATATAAAATTACAAAAAGGTCTTACAAACATAATATTATATTGTAAACAAACAAGGACATCATAAAAGCTGCATTTTATTGCAGCTTTTATGTGATTGTTCTATGGCAAACTGAACAGGTAACAGTTCATTTAAGTCAGTCTGTTAAGTTTTCTTAAAAGTTAAAAATTAAATTAAATCTCGTGAGAAAATGTTTTATTAGTATTAATTTTATAATAGCAATTTGCAATACACGGTAGCTGTAAAGCGGGTTGTCTACTTTGGCTATCCAGATTTGTAATTTGTTACATACTGGGATAGAAGATGGATAACTTAAAAATTCTTGAAATGTTTATAATGTCCGATAAAATTGGAATCTTACCTTTAATTATTTTTTTATTGTTACTTAGAGTTATTAGGTACTCTGTCACGCAACTAAACAAACTGGGTTTTGTATTAAATGCAAGAACAACAATACATTATACATTTAATATTGTTATAAAAAATCAGTATTTACGTTAATCGTAGCTACGTGTTTTATTTTAAAAAATATTTTTTTTGATCTCTAAAGCAGCTGATTTTTATATTCTTTCTTTTAAAAAAATAATCCTTTTTTCTTCCTGTGTTTTTAATCTCAAACACGACCTCATACAATATTTAAAATAGTTATTTCTATGAACACTACTAGGTTCCGATTACAATTGGAAGGACACAGCTACGTCATCATTTGGCAAAGTATGTAGTTAATTAATTATCGCCGCCTACTGGGGTTAATATTACAGGAATCTAGGAAATATAGTATTATACTTAACAACTTACTTATTTTTTATTTATATATAGTTATAGATAATATGTATTCGAATTTCGAATGCATATGATCTATAACTTTCAATAAACAATAATTAAGTAAGTTGTTAGGTGTTAAACGATATTTCCTATATTTATATAATATTAACATTTAATGGCGGCGATAACCAATTAACTACGTTGCCAAATGATGACGTAGCTGTGTTCTTCTAATTGTAATGGGACCCTACAATAATATCAAGTTCAACAATTCTTTCCGAGTCCGCCGAAAAACAATATTTGTCTCGCCTGCCGATTGTCGAATGCAATGGTTTGAAGTGGGGGCATTAGAGGAGATAACGGCTATACATTTCTGTGAAACTAAACTCGAGTGCCGAGAGCCCATAATATTTACTGTTTTCTACCTGGATAGCTATTCACTAAGTCATGGGAGCGCTCCCATGGGAGTGCTCCCATATATTTTGCTCCCTTACTCTTAGATGGGTCTATCGTGCTTACTCACTTTTAGGCCAGGTACATGCGTAGTAAGGTCAGATGCGAGGGAGAATTGCGGGCTTGCCAGATTTAGGTCCGTATTTATCACAAAGGAAATTTGAACTATTTAGGACCGATTCCACCGTTGTGTTAAACAAAGTTTAAAATGACATTTTTACATTAACAATGTCACTTTAATCTCCGTTTAACACAACGGTGGAATCGGCTCTTAAATAGTAGATCAAAGTTATTCTGTCGACTTGGCAACGTTGGCATGGGAGTATGGGAGCATGGGAGTATGGGAGTGCTCCCATGAGTTAGAGAATAGGTATCCTGCAGTAGTTTTGAACAGTCCGTAAATATTTAAATAACTTTCGCCATTGCACCACTAAAATATGAATACGCCAGGCCAACGTAAACGGACCATATACATTCCTATGTCGCATTTAAATTAAATAGCCACACCATGCAACTTTTAATATCCTGAATCTATATTTAAAATAATGGCTATACCTTTAATTTATTTGCACAATTGGGATGTAAATCCAAAAAAGTATCCGCTATTACGTTATCAATATTAATTTTTTCTACACCCACATAGATATTGGGTGCTATGATTGAACGTTTACGTTATCCGTAACGTACATGTTAGGCCGAATTTTAAAAGTAACGAGGCAAGTTCGGATGATGGAAAACTGTTAAATTAGAAGATAACAGGCGGAAAATAACAGTAACGTGTTGGAAAAAGTTTTCCATCATACGAACTTGCCTCATTACTGTTAAAACTCGGCCTAACATGTACGTTACGGATAACGTAAACGTTCAATCATAGCACCCATTAGCTTATCTACGCACAGACTACAAAACGAAAAAGTATGTCATTGCATTCAACCGAACGAATATATTTCATATCCATTCTAGGTAGTGAGAATACTGCAAAAAAATTAAATCCACCAATCACAGTTCATATTTTGGACACCCAACTACTATTATTTTTAAAATTTTAAATAAGTGACAATCCTGTCAAACTAATTGTCAGTATATTTTTAGTTATTGAGATTAAATATACATTAAAATTAGTTATTTTTGTGTAGAATAGATAAATAATCTTAAATAACAGCATTTTTAATTGGACCATATTTTTAAAAAATAAATAAATTTACCAAAATCGTAAAAGTGGACGTGGACGCGTGGCAGTGTACGCACTTCCACGCGAAAAGCCGGGGAACGATTTTCGGCTGACGATTTTTTTTTTTTCATATTTATTTGATTTTAAAAATCCGTAAAATTTATAAATTATTTTAAAATTATTTATTTTGTCTTAATAACCTAAAATATTTTTTTTATTTGTAACATATGTACAAGTCGAGTGGATTGTCCACATCGCACTCAGACGATTGAGCACTCCCCTACAGCGTCGTGCTCAAATTTCGTCTTCGTGCGATATAGCCATCATATCCACTCTTGTTGCACAAACTACTATACAGGGTGTTAAAAAAAAGTGTCACAAAATAAAACGGGGGGTAGTATGGGCCAAAATATGCAGAAAAGTCTTATAATAATATAATAAACATATGTCCGCAAATGAATGGTTTCAGAGATACGGAGTGTTTTGTATCATTTTTTGATTATCTTTTTTCATTCTCAAAAACTTGCTTTTCTTATCGGAGTCTACCGATGTTTTTTCATAGATACTATTTGCAGTTATTATTTTGTTGTGGGTGAATAATTTTATAAATTTTCGTTATGCCTGTTTACACTAATATTGAATTAGCTGACATGCATTTTATGTACGGTCGTGCAAATGGCAATGCATTGAAATGGAGGGAGGGCACTTTGAACATCTCATTTAACTCTATGTTGTTATTAATTGTTTATAAATATCATTGTTTTTTTATAATAATAAAAAATTGTTATAAACACAAAATGGTCCGTATCTCCGAAACCGTTAATTTGCGGTCATATATTTATTAAGACTTTTCTGCTTATTTTGGGTCATACTATTCACCATTTCATTTTGTGACACTTTTTTTTTAACACCCTGTATAGTGTAAGCTGATAATATAAGAAAGTTAGTATAATAGGGAAAGAAAACATGAAATTGCAAAACATCTAGGAAACGAAAATAAATTTTTTCTATACTCACAAGGAAATTAGATTATCTACGCATACAGTAAAAAACGAAAAAGAATGGTTATGCGTTTAGTTAAACGAATATGTTTCATATCCATTCTAGGTAGTAAGAACACTACAATAAATAAAATCCACCAATCACAGTTTCTATTTTGATCAACCAACTACTATTATTTATAAAATTTTAAATAAGTAACATTTCTGTGAAACTAATTGTCAGTAAAAAAATATTTAGTTATTGAGATTAAATATACATTAAAATGAGTTATTCTTGTGTAGACTCGACAAATAATAATAGCATTTCTATTTTTGTTTGGTCTATAATTTTATAAATATTTCGTTAATTTTAATAAAACTATAAAGTCAATTTAATTACGAGTAATAAAGAAAAAAATTTAAGCACCTCGATGGTAGTGAGTTCAAAGCACTTGCCTTTTTTCTTGTTTATTATAGTTTATAAACTAGTGAAAGTTTAAATTAGTTATTTTATCTTAATAACCTAACATAATTTATAATACAATTTGTAGATTTTTATTAGTGGGTCATAGAAAAAAATATGCTGTACAACTCGAGTAGATTGTCCATATCACACTCAGACGATTGAGGAGCACTCCGCTAACGGAGTCGTGCTCAAATTTCGTCTTCGTGCGATATGGCCATGAACAAACTACTATTGTACCTATATAAGATACATTAAAAAAACCTAAATCATTACAATACTTGTTAAATTCAGAACATATACAAAGATAATAATTTTATTGGCTGAATTGAAAAATGAACTATGCCAA